GAGCAGTGATGGGAATTTGCCAGTTGCTGCTTTTGTAAAGCTGGAAAACTCTTGGAAAGGCTGAACTTTTCAAAGCAGAATTTGTCTGTGAAGCTGCAAACACTTTAATTGTGAGAGCATCATGAATAGGATAAAGCTGTGAAGAAATTGTACCTGGAGGAGTTGATTGAAAACCAGTTGGTGTTTGTTTCCTTGCAGTCTGTGCATCTCCAAACAGTGTTTGCAGCTGGACAGATGATTGGCTGGTATGATCCCAAAGTCACCAGAGTGGCCCATGCTGCCTTTGGAGTGGTGCTGGGAGAAGACAAGTAAGTGGCTGGGTGTACTTAATCCTCTATGCCTTGGAGAGAAAGTTTGAGTGACTGCAGGGGACTTACTCTCATTGGTTGACAAGTACATATGTGGCACACCAAAAACCCTCCAAAAGAAAGCAAACCCATAACTGTGTCATTGTGTTCTGTGCCATTGTCCATGATCCACACAGTCACTGCTGCTGTGGTCACATTCCCTCTCAAGCCTGGCTTCTGCTGCCTGGCATTTGGAGAGGAGCACTTGGATTGGCTAGTGGAAGCTAATGTGGTACTGGGAGATGGCAGTGGTAAAGGCCACAATTTCCATTACTTTCTACCTCCTTAATTCTAGATGAAACAAAAATTGGGAAAAGTCTGTATTGTGTGGTGCCTAATGTCTGGAACTGGACAGTTCTGACTGTTGAATCCTTCCTGGCCATTCCTGCTGACCATGCTGTGGATGCTCTCTGAGTTTTAGAGATGTCTGTGCAATTTCTTCAATACAAAAGGATTTGCCATATGATTTTTTCCTAAGCTTGCTGGAGACTAGGCAGAGGGTGGAAGTGTTTTGCCTCTTATGCAGGTGATCATTTTGGCTGTGTGTTTTCAGGAAGAAGTTCAAAACTCGTTCAGGGGATACGGTGCGTCTCATAGACCTGCTGGAGGAAGGGCTGAAACGAGCCATGGACAAGCTGAAAGACAAGGAACGGGACAAGGTACTTGTGGCAAATTGCATGTCTTTCCTGAGAACTTCCCAGATATGTTCACAGAGTTATGCTCCCTGCATTGCTGAATAAGATTTATATTTGTCTTGCTTCTTGATAGCCTGCAGAGAACTGGACAGTGTGAGACATGGAATGTAACAGAGGGACCAAACTGTCCAAGCATGGTGTGAGGCAGTGGAACTGGGAAGTGTAGTGTAGGGTGAAAGTGAAAAGTCCCTTTTCAAACAGGAACACAAGGAAGCAAGGAAAAAAAACACCTTGAAAATCTCTAAAGAGCTTACAGAAGTCAGGCACAAAGTGCTTTGCTGTGCTGCCGCTGTTCCAGCAGACAGGGGTTTGCAAGTGTTTGCATTGACCAAAATGCTTCATAAGGGTAGGAGGCCCAACATTTGTTCCGTGTACATGTAGTTTGTAAGAAGCAGAAGCAGAGCACATCACACTGGCAGGCTGGGGGGCACAGAGGTCCTGTGGGCTGTCAGAAGAGGGAGTCAACCCTAACCTGAGCAGGGCTGTGGTGCCAGTGGATTGCAGAAGTGAGGTGTGGGTGAGGGGTTGTCTGGTGCCCTGAAGCAGAGAGGTGTGTGTGAACCGAGGTAAATCCCCTCAGCAGCCTGGGCTTTCCTCCTGAGCCCTGATGAGAGGCCAGGGCTGTGTGTTGTGCTTCGTTCTTCCTCTTGACTGTTGCCTGTTTGGAAATTGCACCAGGTCCTGACACCAGAAGAGCTGAAAGCTGCCCAGACGTCAGTGGCTTTTGGATGCATTAAATATGCAGATCTGTCCCACAACAGACTCAATGATTATGTGTTCTCCTTTGACAAGATGCTGGATGACCGAGGGAACACAGCTGCCTATCTGCTCTATGCCTTCACACGGATCAGGTGCGTGGGGTGCAGGGAGCTGCAGGAGTTGGTGCTGGTGCTCTCTGCATCTGTGTCACAAAGGGACATGTAAGCAAAGGAGGGTGACAGTCACATCAGTGCTGTTGGGGGTGTTTGGTAAGAGAAGCCAGCTACACTGGTATGCACCACAGACAAGATTTTATTTGTCATTTCCCATTATGTATCCAGTGCCACCTGAAATGGTTCCTCTGTGTGATACACAGCCCAGGGAGGGAGCTGTGTGAGTTCCTGGTAAGCAGGTGGTTGGAAAAAGGTGGTTGGAAAAGGATGCATTTGTGTTCCAGTAGCTACTCGGCTCAGGTATTGCCACACCCCAGTTTTACTGGCACCCTGAGCCCTGATTTGCCTGGCATTATCAGCTGTCCTTGCTGATGCAGGTGCCTAGAGCCCATCCCTCCCTGTTCCTCTGCAGTGCCCTCCTGGATCTCCCCGAGGGCTGATTGTCATCTTTGGGCTGGTCACCCAGGACTGGGCAAGGGAGGCCATCAGCCCTGAGCCAGGCCAGACACGTGACCAGGCTGGCCCTGGGCAAGCTGGGCAGTGGGACCCTCACAAGCAGACTGTTTTGGACCATTCCAGGGCAATTGCACGCCTGGCCAATATCGATGAGCAGATGCTGCAGAAGGCAGCCAGGGAGGAGGTGCTTGTCCTCGACCATGACAAGGAGTGGAAACTGGGCAAATGCATTCTGAGGTTTCCTGAGATCCTGCAGAAGATCCTGGAGGACTTGTTATTGCACACACTCTGTGACTACCTGTATGAGCTGGCCACCACCTTCACTGAGTTCTATGACAGCTGCTACTGCGTTGAGAAAGACAGGCAGACTGGTGAGTGTTGGCCATAGGGTGCTGCATGGACCTGTGTCACATCCTGTGGTGTTACATCCATCTCCAGGGTGTTACCCTGTGTTGGAAAGGGTGTTGTCACACTACTGTGTCCATGTGGGAGGACTGACACACTGGGAGAGCCTGTGTTGTCACTGAGCAGGAAGGTTGAGTTGGGAGCAGCCAAGCACCTGGAAGCAGGAGGGGTGGTCAGTCTGCCTGGCTTGGGGGGAGCAGAAAGGGTTCCATGTGCCAGTCCAGGCCCTGGTTTTGGGTGGAGGGGCTTTCCCTAGGGAAGATACTGTTGCTCTAAGCAGCTACTCCAGCTCCTCTGTCTGTGTTTTCCAGGCCAGATCGTGAAGGTGAACATGTGGAGGCTGCTACTGTGCGAAGCCACTGCCACCGTCATGGCCAAAGGATTCGACATCCTGGGGATTAAGCCTGTGCAGAGGATGTAGCAGTTCCCTGTGGAATGACAATAAAGGGACTAAACAACTGGAGTTGTCTGTCTGCTGGAGTGGGCTTGTAGTAAGGGAAAAAATAGTAGAGGGGGAGAGAAAAGGAGTGTGGCTTCAACAGCTGCAGATACAGAAGTAGACAAGTGGTTGTGAGCACAGCTCAGAGCAATTCTTAGTGCAGGAGCCAAAGAAGACCCAAGGGTACCTCCAGGAAACCCTCCAGCCACTCACACTCCCAGATCCAGTGATACTCTGATCCATACTCCCTCCATCCACTTTACCTTAGGTGCCAGGTACGAGCAGGTCACCCAGCCTTTGATGTCATCTGTGATGGTACAGGGAGGCAGGCAGCAGTTTTACCTGGAGGAGCAGGAAGCCCAGGGGAGGAGCAGATCAGTTAAACTACATTCCCTCTGAAGAAAACACAAGGGAAATGCCTTTCCCTCAGCAGCAATGTTTTGAATCCCTATGGAGTTGCAAACCTCTTTGTGCAGTGCATGTCAATCTTGGGCAACTACAAGGAGTCATAACTCCTGCATCTGCCTTGGGGTTTGTTGGAGGCTCTGCTGTGAGCGTCCTAAAAGAACTTCCAGAGTCCGAAAGCAGCACAGAAATGCAGCTGTGCTACCACTGGAGACAAGCTGTTGCATTGATGGCAGTGCTCACTGACAATATATGTGCATATGTGTGTATGTGTATGTACATATACATGTGTGTATATATATATATCTATATATCTGTATATATAGATATAAGAGATCTGTATGAGGTTCTTCCATGTCCAGAGAGCTGGGGAGAGCTCAGCTCTCACAGCTGGTCAGTGTCCAGCACCTCATGTGGTGGGCCCCAGCTGACACTTCACCAAGTGCAGACCTGTGCAAAGGCACTCTCCCAGTGGCTGAGCACTGCCCACAAACCCACCACGCCTGGTGCTGGTGCCACAGTGATAGCAGGGTGACAGCCACGTCACCAGCTGCCCAGGCCGTGTGCTGTGCTCCCTGTCCCCCACCTGCACCCACACCCGTGCCATGACCATGCTCTCCCTGCTCCCGGGGCTGAGGAGAGCCAGAACAGGGCTGGGCAGTGCCTCACCAGCCAGGGCCCCATCCCACCCTACCTGGGGCCACGCCGGGCAGGCTGCGGGTGGCAGTGGTGGCGAGCTGAGTCCTGCTCACGGGGGCCGAGTCCTGCTCATGAGGGCCACACATGCTCAGGTTCAGTGGCAGAAGCAGCGTCAGCCGCAGTCCAGTGGTGGCCACAATGACCAGTCCAGGTCTGGGTCCAGAGCAGCAGACCTGGGTGTTCCTCCAGGCACGGGCATAGCAGAGGCTGCCACACTGAGCTGTGGCCTCCAGCAGAAGGGGGACAGCCTTCTCCAGGCAATCCCTGAGTCTCGGCACCAAATGCTGGCCCTGGCAGGGTGGGGGTCACACCAGCAGGACCCCAGCACCCCAGGGTGAGGGGCAGCCCTACAGCTCAAGGCTGGAGTCAGCAATGGTCATAGCAGGGTATGTGGAATGCCCATGTGTGCAAGGGTAGCTCAGAGTTCCCATGGGGCAGCCAGGAACAGGGTCAGCTCCATGCTGCCAGGACTGACCAGAGGGTACAGGGCAGGCAGCAGTGTCAGGGCACCCCAAGGGGCCTCAGAGCTCGGCAGAGGGGCTGGGGAAACAGGGAAACAGGGACCCATGGTTGGCCTAGGACTGGAGGGGGCACTTGGGAGCCCTGTCTGGGCTGGAGACTGATGCCGTGCAGGGATCAGACCCCTGGGAACCCCACCTGTCCTCGGGTGGGGTGTCACTAGGAAGCCAGGCACTGGTTGTGGAATCAGTGCAGGGGAGCCATGGGGCAGTGTCCCCAGCCCAGATCAGAAACTGGAGCAGAGCATGAGAAGGTCTGAGCTGACTGTTGGAGTGTGGACAGCACCCCTAAAGGAAAGGGGCCAGGTGTCAAGTGACACAACAGGGTTGGCAGGCCAGTTGTCCCACGCTGCCAGAGCTGGACCAGAGGTGGCAGCCAGGGTCAGCCAAGAGTAAAGATCATCAGACACATCCACGGCGATGAGGTCCGAGGCAGAGCCAGGAAGGTGAGTCAGCAAGGGAGGTCAGGATCAGGTCCGGGACAGCAACCAGGGTTAGCCACAGTCTAAGGATCACTAGGCAAGTCCATAATGACGGGCAAAGGCCATGGTCAAGCTGGGAAGTCGGTCTGTGGGCCAAGGTCCAGGTTCAGATTACTGGGGTCAATGGCCAGGCACAGGCATGGCTGTTGGTCTGGCCAGGCCCCAGCAGCAAAACTTCAACCCACTCTCCAGCAGGGATGGCCAGGGCCTCCCTGCCCAGGCAGGGCACCCAGACATGGCAGCCACTACCCCACAGGTGCTCTCTAAGCTGTCCCCAAGCACATGGAGTCAAGCCCCAACAAGTTGGGGATGGAGGGGGGAATGGAGGAATGCTTGCAATGACACTCTTTTTGTCTTTGGTGGCAGCAGCAGGACTCCCATCTATCACAGGCACAGAGCAGCAGCTGGGCTGGCAGGGACATTGCCCAGCTGCTGCTCCAAGCTGCCCTCCCCAGCCAGGATGCCCAGAGCTTTTGCTTGGTGACAATGAGTGACGTACCTGGAAGAGCCTGTTGCACTCCATTATCATGTGGGCCAAGCCCTGCGTTGCTGCTAGGTTCTCGTTCAGCTCCCTCTGGTCTGGCTTCCCCAAGCTGCACTTCCTCTGACTGGATCTGGGAGAGGGGAAGGTGAAAGGAAGGATGAGGAGCAAAGTGCTGGGAACCAGACACAAAACACACTGCACTGAAGGACCTGTATGTGCCATGTAGGGTTCATGCAATGTGACCACTGAAGGTCAATTCCCTCCCAGCACATCCCAAAGGTGTCCAGGGCACTACTGACCAGTGGTAATGGAAACCCAAGAAAGGCAAATCAAGGAATTTATTCCCCAAACACATCACATACTTGGCCAAGAACAACGACCTCAAGCTTATTTGTGTATAATCTTCAATTTCAAGCTCCTTTGATACCTGCAAAGCCCATGTAGAACCTTTTAACTCCTTTGGCCTAAACCACTCCCAACACATTCCAAAAACAGTCCCCTCTTTTAATTCATGCTAGTGGTATTATATCATTAGTCCTGGCTTCTGAAACTTTTATCTATGTGCATTCCTGCCAAATGGCTTGAAAATTGGGTGGAAGATAACAGTCCTCAGTGCTGCTCCTCAGAGTCAGACCTGTCAGCTTGAGCCCTTTGAAGTGGGAACCCTGCACCAAGGCATTAATGCACAGTTACAGCAGAGCTAAAGCTTCAAAGCATCCTGGCTTCTAAACACTGACAACAAAGAGAAAACTCCATTGCTATCTTTGGTCCTAACATTTCACAGCAGTGTTGATGTAAAGCAAGGAGGCACAACTCCCAGAGTGTAGCTCCTAGGAGCTCAAACAGCACACCAATCCAGCAGGACCTGCTGCTGCTGCTCCATCACATCCCCAGGTGCCCTCGCAGTGGCCCCGTGGCTCCCTTGCTGTGTGCCAGCTCAGCACAGGGATGCCTCAGGCATTTTCTGATGTTTTGTGACATTCAAAAGAAAATCCTCAATGTTTTCTTTCCCTTCCCCTGTGCTATCCAGAGCCTGAAAGATGCCAACAGCACATCTGACAGCTTCTGCTTTGGGACTAGAGCTCCCCTGTAGATCCCCAAGTGAGGCGCTCAGCTCACTACACTGTCGGGAGCACGATGCTTCTGGCACAGCCAATTGTGCTCTCCTGCCCTGATCCGTCTGTCCACAGCCCAGGAGCACGAGCAGAGCAAACAGCCCTGCCTCAGGAGGCCAGATAAGGCATGAATGCTCTCAGAGATTATTTGTCTGCTTTGGCCCAAGGGCACCTTCCTCCCTGCACGTACAAACAGGGGATGTTATGCAACCCAGATAGTTTTACTTATTAAGATAAATTCACAGAATCCCTATGGCTCGATTTGGTAGGAATGATCCCCCGTATCACCCAGCAGAACCAGCGCCAGTAGCTGCCTCAAGCTGCCAGGCATCTGCAGGAGCTTAAGGCTACACCTGAGCTCAGGTTGCCAGTGCAGGAGCTCATTTCCAATGGCCAGCACCACTTTAATGCTAGCAGTGGTGAGGGACACACACAGACTGGTCAGGAGCATGGCAATGAGACCTTAGCACGGCCCTCTGCACTGGGCAGTGAGTGGCTGCATTGCTCCAGGCACTGCAGGCAGCTCCTGTTGCACCTGAACAACCAGATTTAAGTCAAACCCCAAGGCAGACACAGTCTATTTCCCCCTCAAAATCAGACACTGAGCCTAGGCCAGCTACAGAAAGCATTGCTCCAGCAAGAACACTGTGGACAGCAGCAGTGCCAGCACCAAGGTGCCAATACCTGGTTGAGGAGGAGGAGCTGTCCCGCCTCAGGCTGTTGAGGTGAAACAAAGAAGGTGCAAGACAGACAGCGATGTTGGTTGGGGTCATCTGGTTTTCCTCAACAAAAGCCACCACATCTCGCAGGAAGAACAGGAGGATTTTCAAAGCTTCTCGGTTTTCCTTTGGGAGAAGGAGAATAGCAGCCTGGACAGCCTGAAACTGCTGGTCCTTCGGCACATCTGAAAGTTTAAACCATGACAAAAATCACACATGACTTACAGAAGGAGCACACATCAGCAGGGTCCCAAGCAAGGCACTGAGCTTGTAGGTTCATCCATTTCCTTGTCCCAAGCTCACAGCAGACAAGGAAAGGCCACTATCCCATCGAACACGAACCATTTCTCCTACTGTCCGTTAAGTGCATGTTCACACCCAGGGATGCTGCAGCCTGACTTGCAATTTATCTTGAACACCACGCTAATGAACACATCCTGAACTGAGTTACAATCCAAATGAGGGCCTGTCTCCCCATAAAATATTACTCTGCAGTGATACTTTGGAGCAGGTAGGTGCTGCAGGTAGCTGCTCTAATGTCTTTTCCTTTCAGCTTCAAGCATGAAGAGAACAGATGCTCTCAGATAACTCAATTCAGAGAGCAGTGTTTTGCCAACAGATTTTAATTCACACCAACCCCCACTGAGACTGTCTGCCCAAACAGCTCTGGCAGGAGGGTGGGTCTGGTTCATCCTGCCATGCATCCCCAGCACAAGCATTTCTCCAATTAACACTGCTGCAATGGCTAGTACATCACTTCTTCCTTTCAGGTAGAAGCACATATATAGAACACACAAAACACAAAACACAATGTGTGGTGAAAGCAGCACAATTCTTATCTTCAAAAGAGTAATTTAATCTGTGCACTTGCTCCAGTTACATCTGGCAGAAGATGGGTGAGTGGGGTGAATAAATTTGGGCATTTGCTGTTCTCTCCCAAAACAAGAGACAGGAGACAATTTGCTGGATTACAATAATTGGAGGAAAACAGTTATACATCCTTTGGACACGGGAATTATAGACCTCCTTACGAAGGAGGATTTGTAACTGCAAGAAGAAAACTTACTTCAAACAAATAAATCATTTTCAGACAAGATTTAAAAACCCTGACAGGTGACAAAATAAAACCCAACAGAAATTTCATGAACCTATGCTGTGCACAGAACAGAAGCTGCTCGCTGACATAGATCAATAAAAGCCACACGGGTCAGTCTGCAGAACCAGTCCTCTCAGAAAGCTCACACTTTGTCCTTCAAAACCTTTTCTCAAAAGCAGGAAGAAACCAGTCTGTCCCAACAACATTATTAGCCCTACTTCAAGTTCCTTCCCCAATCCATCTACTTTTTTAAAGTGAATCCCTTGAGGACAAAGTACTGGAAATAGAACCTGTTCAAACTGTATTAAATGCAGTATTTCAGCTTTGTGTTTCTTTGATTTTTGGGTTGAGTCTCAAGGACAGTAACAGTGTGAGCACAGGCAGAAAGCTGCTGGCATTTCCAACTGTTTCACAGCAGCTGTTCTTGGGCACCTTAATAAATAAATGTCAGCAATATATCAAGTCTTCTCACTCAAGGAGTTATGCCATCCAATGAACAAGGGGACCAGGTTATTTCTTAATTTTGCATAAGGAAATGACTGTTTAAAAGCACAGCTTAAGGGGGCTGCTGCTGCATTTCATTACACTCATCCTTCAGGGAAGAGAACTAGCTGGTTCATAGGATACAGATGGGAAGCTCTCAAGTCCAGAGCCACAATGAACTCATCTTGTCAGAAATGTCCTGCCTGACTTATCTCCTCTGACTACAGGGGGACTTGGCACTAGTCCTAGTCTGGCCACTGCCTTGTACAGCTGAGTATTAAGACATCCAAGGCATTGGAAAATGATAGCTTTTGGTACCTACATTGGTAGATGTGGAGGAAGGATTCACAGAGCCTGCTGGTAAATATAGGCTCAGGAAGGTCTCGGAAATACTGCTTCACCATATCTGCCACGTCAAATGCTGACTGCCCTTCGTAACAGACATTGTTTGGGTTGGTTTCATTCATTTCTCTTAAAGACAGAATCCTGGATTTAACACCGGATTTTCGGAACAGGCCAACCTGTGGGTAAAAGAAATTATTAGAGACAAAGAGAGGAGTCATTGGGAATCAAAATTTTGAAAAACAAGTGATCCTTAACCTTCCTTGTAATAGCAAATATCCTATGGCAGTGAAATTGAACACCAAAATACTTCTGTATCATTAGAAGCCACATGGACATTTCTCTGAGGCAAACCACAGCTGATGTCCACAGAATCAGCTGACGTACCAATTTTCATGTTCATTTGGATTTTATTTAATACAAAAGTACTCATTTTACCTTTTAAAATCACTACCATTGACATATGTCTGTTTTCTTGGGAAGGCTGTGTTTACACATGGCAACTCTAAGTTTCAAATTCACCAGTGTATGTCCACCAAACACAAACATTCATCGAGTGCTGGCTCACACAAACTGACTGTGAGATCCACAAGGCTCCCTGCAACACCTGGTACATCCAATACATCTAGTCCTCCCACAGGCTGGCAAAGGGCAGATGCCATTTTGAGAGAAATTTTGATTTTCTTTTTAATGTGATTGTCAACTGAGCAAGATTTAGGAGTTTCCCATGAGCTCAACCCCAACAAAGCTTCTGGTGACAGCTTTACTCTGTGCCACTGAGACAGTATTTACACACTGATTTATTTATATGAACTGAATGGATACCATAACCTCTAAATGAAAAACACTTGCATTGCCACTTCAGAAAACTCACACACTTGCGCACTTTGGTGTGATATTACACACCTAGACAATGGCAAAGCACTGGAAGAAAAGTCCTTTCTGTAACTAATATGTCTCATGTCAAAAGGTCTTCATTTCTGCAGCTATGCTCTGGAAATACAGCACACACTTCTTCTGCCATCTCTACTTAGGGGATAAATACAGAGCTGAGTTCCAGAAAAAGTTGTTACAGGCACTGCTGTAATGTTTCCTCTCTGCTTAGTGGTGCATTTCAGCTGAAATAAGATTCATTTTCACATTAGCTCTGGCACTACCAGCAGCCACAGAACAGAGGGAACAATGACATTACACTGACTGGCAGATTTGCCTCCTTGGGGAGCAGAGACATGACACCTCCCCAGGCAAAGACAGCCTGACTGCCAGCACCAAGAGACCCGACTGCAGAGGGTTTCAGTGAGGGAAGGCACAAAAACACAGTACAGAGCTAAAGGTATTCCCAGAGGGAATCAACAATGGTATTTCCTCACAGGGCACCTGCTCAGGTCTACACCTTTCTGCCTATTGAGAGCCTTAGGGGGCAAGAAATTCCTTCACAAAAGTATGAAAGAGAATCTGGTTCCCTGGAGCAGATCTGTTCATGGCCCAGGGCTTCTCTGGGCTGCCTCCAATTCATACCTGGTCAAGAAAGTGGCTCCTCAGATACTCCAGGGCTTGCAGGATGCCATTGGGCAGGGGGTGGCTTGTTCGCTGCACATTCAGGAGTAGAGGAACCCCAAACACATTTTTGTCCTTGTAGTCTGAGGCTTTTGGTTTTTTAATGAACTTTGGTATGGTCCTGGAAATGAAAACCAGTAGATGCAGCTTACTAGGTGCCCAGCACATTCCACTTGCTGCTTTACACTCATCAGAAAGGGCTGAGCTGTACCTTGTCACAGCCCCAAATTCTACCACATACCTGTACACACAGCATCAGAAGGGAGAGAAAATCAGCAAAGGAAATTACAGGGATGACTTCCTCATTTCATTGCTGAAATTATCTTTAACAAAGCATCCTCATGGGAAATACATTCCATCCCTTTACGGCACTGCAGGGCTTTTTCATTTCTATATTCAAGTACCAGCTCCCTATCACAAAATGCTGACCGATGTATGTAAGTCCTCTGAAGTGTCTGAGTTTGTCACTGGTTTAGTTCAAACAGACACAGTGCTGAAGGGCTGGATTCTCAGTCCTGCCAACTCTCATCTCAGGTCCCACAGTCCCTGGGATGGTTTTCTGACAAAGCCCTGCAATTGGGCAAATTTAAAGAGAAACTATGATGTGCCTTAAAATCAGTAACAGCACGACCAGCAGCAAGGGGCCAAAATACAGCCCACAGCAGAGGAAACCCTGGAACCATGGAAATAACCAGGAAGCTGCTGGCAATTTAATAGGATGAAATTCTTCATCTTGAACAATTCACATGCTTACATCAACTCCTCTATTTCCAGCTCAGGTTGCCTTAATATCAGACAACTTACCAGTTCCAGCCCTGCTTACTGGAAGGGGAATATCTGTCCATTAAAGCTGTGAGTTTCAACAATGCCAGTTTTTGTGTGCGGGCCAGCTGGGCAGCTGACTGGCCATCAGTCTGGAGGGAAAGGCTTTCCAGGTTCACACTCTCTTCCACAGACCACTGTTGCTTCCTGTGCCTATGGGATAAATATTGTTTAAGCTTAAGACTGTTTCCACCATCCCTGTTTTCTACCTGCATCTGTGAAGCAACCAAGACTCTAAATGACTTGCTGTTATTTGCACTTAAACAAGGTACTTCCCATCCAGGAGGGCCTCTGGCAATGCAATCCCTAATTCCAGTGCCTGAGTGCTCATGCAGATTATGAATGTCCTACTTTCAGCAGAGGTCAGATATTGGTACCTGTGGAGTGGTACCTGCCACCAGCAGTGCAGACCCTGCTACCTAGGACAGACTTTAGAATACTTTGTTCTGGCAAATCAATTACATTTGGGTGGATAGAACCAAAGGCAAACCCACGGATGGCTGACCTGTTGGTCTTTTTAGAGTCTGTGATGTATGTCAGGTCTGCAGAACCAATCTCCTTGCCCAGGCCACAGCTGCTCTCTCCCTCAGCCTCCTCTGCTGTCTTATCTTCTGAGCCCTCTGTTTCAAGAGAGCTTTCTTTAGGGGAGGGTGGATACAAAGAGGTCAAGTCACTGGCAAAGTCAGAATCCCCATCGTCTGAGAACTTCTCTGTCCACTGATCAACCAACTTTTTGAGACCATTGACATCTGCTATGACGCTGTTCAGTTCTGAAAAAACATCGTCATCACCAACTTGTGCTGCCTGCAGATTCTCCAGGTCAGTGTTGGGCATGTTGTCATACACACTCAGCCTGTTATCTCTGCCCGACTGGGGACTCCTGGGGGCTCTGGGATCCTTGGAACCACTGCTGCTCCGGCTCCTCCTGCACCCGTGGAAACTCCCAGTTCTCCAGTTGACAGAAGAGTTGTCTGCTGGAGATAGGGAGCTATCTGTAAGTACTGTGGGGAAAGTGCCAGGTTTATGGCCTTGTGGTATTTGAAACATCTGGTTCTTTTGTAATGTCATGTCATTTTTTATGTTTTGCTGGGATAGATCATTCCCCAGCAACAGCTTGCTGGAGTTCATGTGCTCTGCATACGTCCCCCTTCCTTCACAGGGGCTGCCTGGTTTTATAACAGGACTTGGAGTGCTCCCTGTGCTGCTATTTACAGACTGATTGCTGCTATTGCAGCTCTGGGGAGAAAAGGAAGAATTGTTCTTTGTTCGGATGACAGAGAGGTCAGAAATATTTACACAGTTCAGCATCTTCATCTTTTCTTCATTAAGTCCTTCCAGAAGAACAGGTTCACTTATTATGGGTTTGGCCTTTGTCTGACCACTCCTTAAATTGCAGCTCCTTAAGTGCAGCTTCTCCATTTTCTGTAGAAGGCTCTTCCTCTTTTTAGACGGTGACTTATCCAAAAACTTCTCACTGGTGATATTTAAAAATTCACTAGGGGGAGGAGAACAACTAAAAGCAGAGTCCAGTGAAGGTACCTTAACTGAGGAACATCTTGAGGAACTCGTGCTGGTTTCCACATCTTCAAAAGGTTTTTGGGAGTTAACAATGTCACTGTCGGCACTGCTGGTGCTGTGAACTGAGGACACATCGTGCTTCTCACCATGATCCAGAAAGACACTGTCCTGGTTGTTGATGATCTTCAGTACTGGACTGCCTGGGGTGGAGGCACCAGCACCTTCCTCTGCTGGAAAACTTGCCAGGCTGTCAATGCGAGACCACCTCTGACTGCACCTCTCATAAGCCCATCTGTCACTTATTGCACAAGGCTCATCATCTTCAGAGTCATCACTCTTAGAAGGAGAAAAAAAACAAAACCAGTTCAAGGGCAAAGTTTGGCAAATTTTAAATTACAAAAAAAAACAATTTAACATAAAAAGGAGACTTCAATTTTCTGCCAACCTCCAAAACTCCCAAGACCAACATAGGGAAATGTGACCATTCAGTTACTGAAGATCTGCCCTAAGTTAGTTGAAAAAAATGCTGACAAATGATGCCCAAGCATGCTGGCAAATCTGCAGTTTACCACAGGAAAAGGTGACAGATTTGATCTAAGGGTGAAAAGTCCTGTTTTGTGGCAAATCCAAGGGTTTGGAAAGATAATCATACTGGGTTTACTGCCTTTCTTAAAGTCAAACAAATCACTCTCACACTTCTGTGACCAAAACTCATCCATTTTCACATGCAGAAGTGTTTACTGTGGGACTGCAGCAGCATCAGTATGTGTGGCATCTTTTTGGAGCCCTCAGCCTCCCTTGCCAGCTGCACCAGTTGCTCCCTTTGCTGGACTGTCCCCATTCTGAGGCACAGTGAAACATTAGTGAGATGGGAGCCACCTGTCTCTTCTCTGTGGGCTCCCTTGCCCCATTCTGCCCTAACCACAGAGCAGAACCTTCAAAACCCAGACCTTTTTCCAGGAGATGGCATTATTTTCTCACTAGTCCTGCAGTTAATCCACAGTGGCTCAGAGGCTTCACAGACCTGGTGCTGCCCAGCCAAGCTGTGGCCATCATTCTGATTTAGCTGCAGCTGCAGAGCACAAAGGCAGCACAGCTAAAACCCACCCAGCTTGTACTGGCTGAACATTTGGATTGCCCTTCTCATGTCTTTATTTAGTCAACAGGAACGAACTTTCCCTTTCAGCACTTAAATAAGGTGGTAAACTACTCAGGAAAGCAATGATAGCCACGTTGAGATGGGGCTTTGGGACAACTGTTGGACAGTAACATGTGTCAAATCAAATTTTAAAAGTGTTTCAAAAGCCACCCCTAGGCTACCTTACAAAGTTCCAAACACTGTGTAGTTGCAATCTCCATCCCTATGTTTTCTCAACATAAAATGCAAATAGCAGAGCTTTGCAGGACGGAATAGAATAGAAAGAAAAGTTCAGAAATTGCTAATCCTTCATGTACTTTTAAACCCATGTGTTGATACAATAGCTAAACACATCTTTAATTAGAACAGAAACTGTATGTTACAGACATACCCGTTTCCTATCACGGCTTATTTCCACTTTCATTGATGCATACTTGTTCAATGTGTTCAACCTTCTAGGGTTTGAGAAAAAACACAGGAGTTTTAAATTTCAACTATTTTATTTCTTGAAAACAAACATGCACCAAATTAGTTGTGATCTTCTACCATGGAGTCTTCACTACTGCCAAAAGGCTGACATTCTGTTAGAGGCTCCCATACATTGGTCCCCAAAACCAGCACCAATAACAACACCATGATGTTCACACTTCCATTTCTGCCATCTTAAAACTAGAGAAGACAATCATAATAAATAATTTAATTTAAACAATCATAATAAATCATTTAAACAATCATATTATTAGCTTTAATGACTGTGGAAAACTTCATATTGATTTAAGATTTTGCAAAGAAATTAAACTCCCTGTGGGCTTCTTGAAAAAAATTTTAAAATCAAGACATTAACCTGTATCCCTGGAAGGACTGTATTATCTATCATTTTATTAAAGCTTGTGGAATCAATATGGTCCCAAACCAGTCAATCACTTAGTTCTCAAACAATAGGTGGCATCAACAGGAGGCACACTGAAAGTCTCCAAGGAGCACTCAGGACAGAAGTGATACCAAGAAACAAAATATACCCCAAGTTCTCTAATATCTGCTGTGCTTTCGAGATGTGTGTGCACAACTCCTCTTGGTGTTCTAGCACAGGCAGGGCTGGAATTCAGGTGACCTGATGGGACAGAAAAGGACCAGAACACTTCGCCAGGAGAGGAACTTTCCAGAGCCCTAAGTGTTAGAAATCATCATTTCTGCTAAAGAAACTGTGCTAAACAATCTCATAATGAGACAGCTTCAGTACTGCAGTACCAGTTGAAGCAGAAGCCTCACACTGTCCTGGCACTCTTCCATGGGGAAATTCCACAGGGCCATGAGTCTGACTTGGCACTGACAGTGCAGGTTCACTTGTGTGCTCTGAACAGCTGTGGCAAAGCAATAACTTCAAACCAATACCTTTGCTTCTCACCCAAAAATATTCAGGAAAACAGAACAGATCTCTTGCAGATAATTTTTTTCTGCCTATCTGCTGGATCAGAAGTTGGAGGAAATTCCTGTACTCCGTTACATGTGATCCTAGAGAACAGCCTGTCGTGCTTGCAGGGAATTGGTGATTTTTAATCAGCTTGCAGACATTTCACATTACAAAAAAAATATTTAATGCTCAGTGTAACATCCCTGAGAGCTTGGCTAAAGAGGAAGTGTAGATATGTGCTTACTTTACCTTTAAATTCCTAAAACAATCAACTTCAGTGGCACTAACTATGTGCTTAAGCGATTTCCTTCAGTCACAGGTTTGGTGACTTTGTTAGTCTCTGACGAAAACAGAGGTGTGAAAAGATGAATAACAAATAACTGTGGGGCCTGGAGGTATCAAAGATGGTTCATGGTTAATGTTTACCTGAACAGTGATTCAATCGCATCTCCATCTAAAAATTCATGATCTCTCCTCACAGTTTTTACATCAATGGGAAACTGCATATCTGTGAACAAAGAAGTTGAATCTGAAATCTGAGCTGTAATTGCAAAGACTTTCAATTTTGCAACTTATTTATCACAGGTGAAATGGAACTGCTTCCATTTCTATAGCTGTACATTCATGCAAGCATCGTTCCAACAAGCGAAGATCAGTTCCTTAGGGCAAGTGGGAGAATAAATGCAGGGATCTGCTTGCTGCTGTTATCACAGGTGGATAAGCCCTTCTGCGTTTCCAGGAGCTTGCAGTCATCAAATGCCATAGACAAGAAAAGCAAAATAACCTTTAGATTTGCTTTGGCTCTCTGCAACTTCTGCAGAATAAAACTGGGGTTATTTTACATGAGCCTTTGCCATGGTGAGGTGCAATGCAGCACATGAGATACACTCCCTGAGCCCTAGGGAGCCTGGCACATCACACTGGGCCAGAGGCTGAAGAGTTCAGTGGTTCAGCTCCTGAGATTTAGCCTTGCACATGAGGAAACCACTGAGGTCTACATGTATTTTCTTGGCTTATTTTATAAGCTGAATTTTCCTAGCCAGGTCAGGACACTTCATTAGCAGCAAGGTTAGGCATAGGATTCATTTTCCAGAAGCATGGCAATGCACATTTCCAACAAAAAGCTTATAGCATAAAATCTGCTGTAGGCAGACAGGAAGCATTTCCAGCTTTCAAACCCAGTTCTACGGGCTTGACTTAAAATTTTTAATTTTGCAGGGACTGGGGGAGGTGGGAATGAGAGCAGGTAACGCTGTTCTTTTAACAGTAGTTCTTTGATAAAATCTTTCTTAAAATAGATTAGCTTTTGTTACTTTCAATGTTTGTAACAAAGAACATATTTTAAAGAAGAAGAGTTTTAAGGTATATGCACAAGTGTGGCATCAAAAATTATACAAGTTCTCAACAAATCCATACCTCCTCCCAAGAAATAAGCACTCTTTGTATTTTTAACAACATGAAAACATGCTGAAATTGCATTTTTGACTGGCTGGCTGCTGCTGAGTATTTCTTCTGAACACTTATGATTGCAAGATCCTTTTTTCCAGCATTCTTTTTCAAAACACCCATAAAGCAATCTCACTCAGAACACAGGCTGGAGAGGCTCAGAGAATTTTTGGTTGCAATCAGTGGTGGGAAAAATCACTTCTGGTACTCCAAAAAAAACAGCCTGAAAAAATTATAAGCAACTAAAAATAACAAAAGCAGAAATTTGACTGAGTTACAGCTAACAACAGGAAAAAAAAAAACCAGGGAAGATTTGGTCCTTTATAGAATTCTACTGCATCCCTGCTGAGATGTCCCTTCTGCAAGAGAACACACCAGGTCACTACTCTTCTACAGGCTTCCATGAAGATATAACAGAATTTGGAAGTGCTTCCATCAAAAGTGTCAGGTTCTGAAATATATTATTTATGTGAACAATTCCACTTGAATTCAGTGTCAGCTGCTTGGCAAGTCTTTGTGATCATACCTTCAAACAGCTGAGCATACTGGGGAAATCCAGCAGCTCTCAGCCAGTCGCAGGCTTCTCTGGCTTCAATTTCTGCAATGAGAACACACAATTGCTCATGGACAGTGTTCACCAGAGTCAGTGATAAGCTAATTTCACCTGGCACACTCTCTGAGAATCTTGTCTGTTAATTTTTTTTTAGGATGCTGCTAAAGAGGAATAAATTCTTGTATCCAATGCACTTACATGCACATAGCTCTGCAATAGTCATTCCACTATAGCAGAGATAAGGTAACACAGGAGAGGGTAGATTTGAACACATACTTGGGATGTCACACACGGGGGTAAATCAGCTGTCCCTGAGCTGGGGGCAGTGGAGCATCTGCTGCAAGTCCAAATGAGTCACCAGAGCAGGGTGTGGGACACACATCTGTGCCCTCACACGGCAGAGCCCGCTCGTGCATTCCAGCGCTGAGAGACGGTGATAAGACACAAACAAATCCTATAAATAAACTTAAAATGCTCTCACAACTGTAATAACACTGGACACAGCCTAAGCATTCCCAGAACAAGAGTTCTCAGGAGTACCTGTTGCTAGGGTCTATCAATATTTATTTCCTTGCCAACTACCTACGCAACTTGGCAGCCACTGCAGCTGTCAAGAACTAGCTGCTCACTTTGTGACAACTGGTAAAGGCCTGTGGCCAGCACTGTAACATTCCCACAGAGGCAGAGCAGAATACAACCTCACAGAATCACACACCAGACTCCTCAAAAACATAAGCAGGTCAGCATGAGTATCCTCCCTCAGGCTCTAATCTCTGCCAACACTGGAAATGTCTGGGTCTGTGGAAGAGAACAGGATTCTCAAATACACTTTCTGTAGGTCTGCGTGCACCCCAGCTTGTGTTACACCAGCCTAAAGGCAAAGATTTCTTTAAAAGGAACATTTTTGAGCTACCTTAAAATCCAGCATGCTCAGTAGAGAGAAACGTTTTTAAAGCACCTTAAAGTGTAGCATGATAGGCCAGAGGAACAGAGCTGTTCCTTTAAAACTATTTTCTTTATACATACACTCACAGATTAGGATTCCAAGGCACTTCACATACATATCTGTTCAAATTCACTGCTTGCTTTGCTCAGACTTCTCAATTGTAAGTCATCAGTGCAATTAGACACTAGCCAAAAATATCACAGAACTTCCACGATTTTATTTTTCTACTTTAAAAAACTTGAAATAGTTTCCATTTATCACTTAATCAAATTAGACAATACCATTCTAACAGAGGCTTCCCTGCACAAAACTGTATGGCTTTTCATCTCAGAATAAAGAGATAGCACAGGAAGACCAGGATATTTTTACAGAATAAAGAGATAGCACAGGAAGACCTGGATATTTTTACACAAAATAGATGCATGAATCTCTTAGTTTTTTCACACTGCAAAACAGAAACTAATTTCTTCTACAACAGCCTATATACACTATGCCTGTATTTATTACTATACTTAGTACTGTAATTTATCATAATCTTTACCACAACACAGCATTTACTGGAGACAATAAAAGACAAGCATTGTATTCACAAAGCAAAAAACGAAAAGAAAAGCTATTTGTAGAAAAGAGCCAAGAGGATGACCAGACTAACACCAAAAGTCTTCACAAAGTGATTTTCATTTAGAAAAACCGAGTAGATTCACTCAGCCACCTCAGCTGTGGAGAAACTGTAGCTGTCCTCATTCCAGACCTCAGCCTACTCAGCCAGAGCCTGTGCACAGAAATCCTGAGCTCAGACAGGGGCTCTGTAGGGGCTGAAGCTTCCCCAGTTCCCAACACATTAAAAGCACAACTCCATTTTTAGACCAAATCAAGCCATGAAAAGTGATGCAAAAAAGAACAGAAAAATAAGGCAGAAAAGTATTTTGTACCTAGCAAGGATATTTTCAATTAATTTGACCGAATATATAATGGCATTGTACACTTACAGGTGGGCTCTTCCACAGAACATGGACAGAGGAGCTGGGGGAATTTTCTTCAGGTAAATCTTCAGGCCTTTTAACATACCTTTGCACATTCACATGGCATGTTTGGATTGGATATCAGGAAAAAATTCTTCCCTGTGAGGGTGCTGAGGCCCTGACACAGGTTGCCCAGAAAAGCTGTGTCTGCCCCATTCCTGGAAATGTTCAAGGCCAGGCTGGACAGGACTTGGAACAACCTGGTCTAGACAAGAGGATGAAAACTTTTTAACATCTTTTGGGTGCTATCTGCACAACTGAAACAGCAGAGCAACCTGTATGTGTCATCTCCCTCTCCTGATTTCATAATTAAGCAGATGAAAAAAAAAAAATCTGCAAAGCTTAATATTCCTGGTTTAGAGGCTGCCAGCAAGTTTTCCATGCCAAGCCAGCTATTTCCCCATGGGCTACGGGTGGTAGGTTACTACCAGATGTTTATGAGAAACAACACAGAGTACACAGCCAGTGCCTGTACCCTTTGGCTGTCCTATGTCCCACAGGTACGTTTTGTGCTGAAGACTCAGCCCAGTCCCCCTGCAAAGAGCATTCGGAGTCCTGGCTGTGCCCCAGCCTGCCTGTGCCAGCAGCCCAGCACACCTGCCCTCCATGGCTGCTGCCCTTTCCCCACAGCTCCCTCCTCCCTGGAGCTGTATCTCCATCAGCTGGGCTGTGATATCTCTGCTGCAGCCAGGGCTGAAAACTGTCCCCACCTGAGCACTGTCCTGCCTGCAGACTGCAGGACCTACACTCCTCAGGTACCCGGAAACCAGATGCTACAGTGTGAATTAAATCCCTACCAGAATGAACAGCAGTGTTAACCAGTTTGCAATAAACAAAAGGTATCTCTACTGAGATTTGGGCATTCTCTCTGAGATGTTTTCCTCAGAAGAAGCAGCACTTTCCTAACAACAAGGCAGAGGCAGCAACCAAAACCACTGACAGCTGTATATCAAACAGGCAAGTCAGCCTTACTACAAGGTGATGGCTAACTTCAGCTAAAGAAGAACATCAAACTGTACATTAAATTTTAAAATACTCAAAATAGAATGGGAGAATATAAATTTCTATTTGAAAGCACCAGCACAGTGAAGCCTGCTGCCAGGATGCAATGTGACTTTGAGGAGACCTCTTCCATTCCCCAACTGCAAGTTCCTACCCCTGCTCACCGACACCCCGAGCCAATGCCAGCAGGGCCTGTCAGCCAAACTGGCAGGAAATTAGTCACTTTTGTTTGGCAAGATGAGATCTATGAAGTTTTAGCTTTCTGAATTGTTTACCACATGTTCTGATAGGTTCCAGAGGCAGGACAAGGGCAGTGGTGGGTCCATGCAGGGAGGGATGTGGGAATGTGCAGCTGCCTGCCCAGGCCAGGGGGCTCAGCTGACTATGAAACCTTTACCTAAATCTATTGATTTTCACAGAGGTGTCTCATTGTAGGTTTATTTCAAAGAAAAATTTTATCAGATTTTTAAAACCAATGGTAGATGCATTACTTCTATCTCCATCCAAGATAGTTTTCCAGTTTCAACAGGTAGGAATCACATGATGATCAGGACTTCAGTAATTGGAGGGATTTAAGTCTGAATGCCTTCCAAAACCATGGCAGGAAGAACAGTTGGAGAGGTTTCCTTGCTGTTTGCAGCCCTCCTGCATTAGTTACTGCAGGACTCTCCTTCTCCCTTTTTCTGTAGGATGCAAGTGTGGTGCTTGTGGCAAAGAAAGGATTTCTCAACATGCCCAGCAGACAGGAGAACAGAACAGAAGGTAGGATTGACTCCTCACTTTGACTGCACATTGCAATACCTTGTAATGGAAACAGAAAAAAATTCAAAAGATTTTGCTCTTTCCCAACCTGTGTCATTATACAGGAAGACATTTCTTTTTTTTTTTTCTCTAAATGGCAGTAATCCTCCTCAACAGCCACAGACAAGCAGGTGCCCAGGGTCCCCACCTCACAACCTGCCTGATGTGCCACAGTAGGGCCAGCTGTGCCTCACAGGGGAACGCTGCTGCCTCTTCTCATCACTGACAATCCCAGGCTGCCATCCCCCCAGTCTCCCCAGAACTGAGGCCAACAGGCCCCGTGCATGCTTGGCAGCCACATGTCAAACTCGGCCACACATTTTTCCTACAGCTCACGAGCCCTGGGCTGTGAACTGGCAGGTCCTTTACGTTCTCACTTATATCCTGTCATTCCTGGTTGTGCTGGCAGTGGTGGAAGTGACAAGGGGTTTTCAGATTCCATTTGAACATCAAATGATGAGTTTCCCATCACATCTTTATGGTTTGTGTATCTTCCTAGGGCTATAAGAATTGATGTAACTTCCCTGTGACCTACAGCTGCTAATGAGGTATTTCATTTTATACATACCCCGTGAAAAATGCATTTGCTGTGCTAGAACTCTGATTTCTGATGGTGCTCAACACTGAATTTTACCTGTGACACGATTTTTAATAACTATTTTTATTTACATTATATCCTTTTACTTAAAAAGAGAGTTGGAACATGATGTCTACTCCATGCTGAAGGCTCAAACGCGATGCTTTCAAAGTAGGGTGTTTGCACTGACCAAGATAAGCAGTCAGGGACTTGTAAAACTGTCAAACTCTCCAAGAGCTAAGATGGATCATAAAGAAGTGGAAATGTTTATTCTGTTTTCCCTTGTGCAATGCAAAATATCAAAGCTTAATTGTACTTTACTAACCCACTCAAGGAAGAGAGGGGAAAAAAAGAGATTATAGCTTGGAATTTAGCCAGGATAATTTAGGCTCCATGCAGATAGTGAACATAAATATCTGGAAAATGAAAAGGCCAAGATATTTGTCCTTTCATTCCTACTTTACTATCATGCTGGTGTTTTGGAACTGCAGCCAACTCTTCAGTTATCACAGCTGGGAACTGCAATGTATCCCAGAACTTTGTGGCAACCTTAATTGCATCTTTATCCAGCTCCTTGGCATCAGCTCCCAAGCTGATTACCAGGACTCCCAAGCTGATAGTAAGGTCTTTACTCGGGTCCTTGTCTTTTGCCTCCCCTGTTGGTTCCTGGGACTCAGACAAGTTTAAAGGCATTTTCTTTGCAGACCACATTAACTGGCTTGTCAGTGCTGGCTGGTCTTTTAATTGCTTCCAAGTAAGTTAGAGAAGGTAGTGTTTGCTCTATGGGAATTTCAAAGGGCTCAAGGAAAGTAGTATCTAATTCACATCAACTTTAGGAGAAATGAATGTAACTCTCTAATTTCCAATCCACGCTGGAAACTCCTTATCCAAGTAAGAGGGGTGAGAAAGGGGAATTATCTCCCTGCAATCTAACCCCAGCAATGTTGCTTCACTGTGCTTCAGCCCTGCTGGCTGTGAAGTGGGAACAGATCCCACATTTCTCTGACGCAGAAGCTCCTTATGGATGTTTTTTTACAGGACCCTTGTACATGATTGAGAAACACTTGATGCAAGATTCCTGGGAGGAATTCTAGAAGGGAGGGTACTGCTTTCTGCCACTAGAGCCAATATCAATAAACCTATAGCACAGAAGTAACAAACCCCATGACAAGTGAACTGTGCTCTTTCATTGTATAGCACTAGGTTTTCTTTAAACATACAAAATGCCAATAACACCACAGTGTCTGATACAGGTTCAACCTACATGTAAGAAACTATTTAAACCCCCAGAGACTGCCCAGTAAGTGGTTATATTAAAAAGCAAGTTGGATTATTGGCCCTGCTAAGGCTGTGCTGAGCCTGATGAACCCAGGGCAGTGAACGATCTTTTACTGGGTCACTCTACCCTGATGGAGCTTGTTAATATTCGAAGATACGCAACAAAGTCAGACAATCTGCCTGGAACTTTCCAAGTGCATCCAACAAGTCAGCAAAAGCAGCAGCTACTGGAAAAGCATGATCCAAAGTGTTGACAGCCGGAGAACTGCTGTCATACTAACAAAGCAGTGGTAGGAAACAGCAGCACCCACTTGGATCCTCACCCGGGGATGTCATCTACCACAGCACCTACTGGATCCTCACCTGGGGATGTCATCTACCACAGCACCCACCTGGATCCTCACCTGGGGATGTCATCTACCACAGCACCCACTGGATCCTCACCTGGGGATGTCATCTGCCACAGCACCCACCTGGATCCTCACCTGGGAATGTCATCTACCACAGCATCCACTGGATCCTCACCTGGGGATGTCATCTGCCGCAGCACCGCTCCCGCTGCAGCCGTTCCGCTCCGTTCCTCTCCGTGGGACCGCCCTTCCCTTCCCGGCCCGGCCCGTGCCCGCCCCGGGACAGCCCCGCCCGGTCCCGCTGCCTGTGCCCGGGTCGGGCCGCCCGTGCCGCAGGAGGGGTGGCCCAGGTACCTGCCTGTCCCTGCCCGTCCTTGCCGGGTGTCCCTGCCTGTCTCTGCCTGTCCCTGCCGGGTGTCCCTTCTTGCCCCTGCCCGTCCCTGCCTGTCCCTACCCGTTGTCCCTGCCCGTCCCTGCTGGGTGTCCCTTCCTGTCCCTGCCCGTCCCTGGCTCTTCAGAGCCGCTATCCCCCAGTGCCCCACACTCGTTCAGATGAAGGCAAATCGACAACCCCTGGTTCCCTTGCTGGCTTATCTCCATGTTTTAAAAAGCAGTTTTGCCAGTGTCATTCCTCAAAGTTTTACAAAGTCAGCTACTTTTTCTTTTTTTTCTTAATACACAGAACTGTGCTGCCTCTACCCTGCACAAAACAGATGGACCGACTCTGCATCCTGCAAAGGAGATGCTGTGCCCAGCAGCAGAGGAGGAGCAGAGCAGAGCTGGGATTCATCCCTAAAACCGACCTCTCATCCCCAGTACCGAGTGTGACCCAGCCTCACGGTGTTTTGCAGTGTTGTTTTGCAGTGATATCCCTCACCACAGTGGTTTGCACAGATCAGACAGAACCTGGGCTTTTATTTTGCTTATATGGACTTAGTCTAGACTAAAAAGGGTTTGTGGTCTGAAAAGCTCACATGCAGTTGAGCAATGAATCTGGGTGCTAAAATCACATTAGCATGTTTTTCAACCTCTGCAACAGATGTGACTTCCCTGTGTTTCTTGTACTTCATTGTTGCTATCATTTGACTTTCTACTTCTAATGATGTGGTACAAAATCTAATGAAAAACCATGGCCAGTCTTTGCAGCCTGAACACTCATCAGCAGGTACAGAGTGGCATGTAGGCTGCTGGTCTCAGAAGAGCATAACAGAAGTTTAAAACTATTTCATTAAAAGTTAACTTTAAACCCCTAACAATTTATATCTGCTGGACTGTCAGGCATTACAGTTCAATAGGACAGAAGGGTGAGATGCTGTGTTAATTTACAGAGGTTGAAAGATAATTCAGACTCTGTGAACCACTCCAGGAAGCCAGACCAGGCTCTAAATTTTTGTAGAACAACTTCTTGCAGTGTTTAGGCTCTCAGAGTTTGGAGCCTAAAACACAGCAAGAAAAGTAAGAACTTGAATGAAGTGGATAAGCAAAAATTTTTTAATTAAATTGAAAATTCTTATAGATGAAGAAATCTTCTTTTTCCCAATCTCATTTAGGAACATTATACCCTAATGAAGTTTAATATATGGTTGTGTTTCATTATCACTAGTTTTCTGTATAACAACCAAATGCAAAATTTGCACAGACCTATGATTTATTTTCATGCAATTGCTTCCTAAATGGACAATTTGCATGGCACAACCAAAAAGATGTTTGATATTGGCACTGGGTGACACAATACAGAAGAAATTAGGGTAGTGTGATATATGGCATTAGCTATGATTACCTAAGAAAATGCTTTTTGCCAGACCCACCCAAAGCCATATAAAAGTACACACCCTGCTCTGATTAAATTTGCAGCTATGTGCTTGGATTAGGGAGACAGAATGTGTCATTCAAATCTGGGGATAACATCAGTAGACTGCTCCTATCCCGTAGAAATGCTCCAACCAGAGCATGCAGTTTCTCCTTCCCACCCATTTTCCTGTGGGCATTTCCCATGAGAGGACAGTGCATAACCCTAAAATGTTCATTTTCTTTCTCTTTAACAGCAAACTACCCTCAAGCTCCCTAAGTGTTGTGTGGGTTACCAGTCATGAAAACACCCACATAAAATCTTAGGGGTGAACTCCTTCAGTACAACACAGTGTTCAGTGAAGAATTTTTGAAGGCTTTCCAGGAAAGAATCACATTCCTCCATTTTGATCATTTTACATATCCTATAGGACAACGAACTCAGGGAATCCTGGCATCTGCCTCTCACTACAGAAGGTCCAGCCCACACACAGGAAGCTTACATGCTGGAGTAAAGGGTGTCTGGAGTAGGGATGTCTCAGCTTCAGAAGAGGCATTTGGATATTTTCACAGCATGTCAAACCCTCCACATTCAGCTGCCTGGCTGACAACTTGTGGGGCTGCTGGTGGAGGTTCCCAAGCCAGAGGAAAAGACAACAAGAAAATGTTTCCTGCTCACCTGGGCTTTTCAGTTCCCAGCTCTGCAGCTCACCAAGGACCACATAATATTACTAGAGCCTCAAAGCTTATGCCACTCTTTGTGACTGATGTCTGGAAAATGGGATCTTTTTCCCCAAATGGTCATTGTTGCTTGGTTTCCTATTTTCTGGAACTGCTCACCCTCACTGAAGGCTCTCCAGAACTTTTCTGACAGGCTTCCTTCCAAGCTTTGGCCAAACCCCTGACTGTAGTCAGCACATGCAGGAATTCTGTCCACAGCAGCTCCAAACCACTCACATTCCACCTCACTCAACTGTGGTGGAAACAATCCTAGAGTGGGTCATTTTAAACAACTTCACAAAGTACTGCAGGGCCAAAGTTAATTGTTTTTAGAAATGAGCCTGCCACTGCTAAATCCCTCACTCATGCTTAACCAAAGCTCTGTAAAACCCCCAAGTCACTGGAGTTGTTTCAGACAGTCACTGTGCCAAGCAATGGAGCTTGGCATTAAATATTTTAATTCCTGTCACTGGAATATTTCCCATACATTTACAAGAGATCACTTCACTTCTTTCTTCCCCTCTTTCCCTTTTACCAGTTCCCTTAATACTTTTCGTGAATCAAAGCTGAGTGACATTTCATTTTTAACTTTCTCTTGGTAAGATCCCAAAGTAATTGTTTTCTATTTTCTTCTCTGATGATCTTGAGTTAACATAGGAGATCAAGGAACCTAACTTCAGCTGTGACTATATTAAGAGGCATCAAGAAAGATATTTCTATGGAAACAAGTTGTTCAGAGAGAAGCCAACTGATTAATTAAAAAGTTAGACCAATTGGGAGGAAAAATGAACAACAAAATACAGACAATACATTGAGACAGTTAAAAGAGGGAGATGTTAAAAGTGGTGGGAATAACTATCAGTTAGAAAGAAGAAAATTAATAAGCTCACTAGAAAAGGATTTAAAATTGAAAATAATTGGATGAAATTAAGTGAGAAAAAAGATAGGTTAGCAAAACCAGAAATTCCTGAGAAAGAAATCCATTGGTTGAAAAGTATTTTTCCAGGGACAAAGACTGAAACTTTATCCTCTATGATGCAAGAGAAGTTAGACAAACTGCACTTACATGTATTGCAGGGAGAAAGATGTACAAGCAGAAACACAGACTATGTCACTATTTTTCCTCTCTTGTGACAAGACTAAGCTGAATAAAATGTTTAACCTTTTTTAAAAAGAGGAAAATATTGTTAAATATAGACTCTTGGATGTGCTGAAGTGCTGTTGAGGTGAAGTCAAAACATAAACCCTTCATTATTATAGAAGTAGCATTTTGTTAGCACTCTGGTCTTCCTGTCAGAAAGCAGCTGTGTGAGAACAGAAGTATGAGAAAATAAGCACATTCAGTGGTCCCTTGAAATTAACAGCAGTTTTCCCCCTAAAAGTCAAGATAACAAGGTTTGGGTCCAAGTCATTCCAAAAGGTCTTGGATTACAGAAAGTCCATTCTCTTGGTCTGTCCCTCTGTAGTCATTCAAAACCACTTAGATCTGATTTTCCAGGCTTCACCATCAAAATCTTAAAACATGATTAAAAATTTTCAAATGGTTTTCATGTTATTTTCTCCACCTCCCAATGAACTTTGCTTGGCTTCTTTCACTGGGACATTCCAGTGAAACCTGCAGCAGATAACACATTATCCTGTTTCCAAGCTTAATTTCACAGAGCTAAACTCTAGAAAATGCTGCTATGGATTTTGGTCTCGAGAAGAATCAGGTCATCATTAATTCAAATTTTTATATCTTCATTTCTAAGCTCAGCCTTCAATTAAAAGGTCAGAACAATACAAAATGGTAGGGAATTACCCATACCCTACCCTCACTTACCTCTTCTGGAAATCTCTGCAAAATAAAAATCAGGGAGAATTCCCCTTCTAATACCAGACAACAGAACTGAGATTCAAAGACAAACACTTTTTAAAAATGGAAATGTAAAATGTCCTTTTTATTCCTGTATCCCTGAGAAGTCGGTCCCTTTATATGACTGTTTACCTGCTCCTATGATAATCACAACTATTCCATGTTGTTATGAGAGGAAATATTGTGGAATTGTTGCTCCTGGGAAACAACACAACTTTCCCCAGCCAGCAGGTGTCAATTGATTTGATCTTCCCTCCATTAAATTCCAATGCCCCAATTTCCATTATAATTGTGTAAACTGTTTCTCATAAGAGCAGGCCAAATTTCAAGCTGGAATTTAACTGTTGCCTTCTGTTGTTAAAAGTTAAGCATTTTTCAGAGAGGAAAACACTATGCTATCATGATGAATTGTAGGGATTTTCTCAGGAACTTTTAGGGTTAGACTAAACAAATTGAAGAATTCTTTCAGAACTATTGAAGTTCCTAAAATGTGGGTGAGAGAATGTAGCAATAAAAACCATAACTTCTTGTTTCATAGATTCATGAAGACCATTTAACATGAAAAAGCTCAGGAGAAATGCAGTGGGTGCATGGAGCTGGAAATCTATGTCCAATGCTCATGTCTAGGAACAGAGCATGGAGGAGTTTAACTAGTGCAGGGAACAGGGTATCCACAGAAAAATCACAGCTCTGACCCCCTGCCAGCCAAGAAAAACGAGCAGAGTAAGCACTTTGATTTTCTCAATCACTTAACTTCTTCTCCTATCTCAAGAGCCACTTAAAAGCAAAGGTGAC